CAGAAGAAGCTGGCACACACTCAGCTGCCAGAAGTGGCACACACTCAGGCGGACAGAAGCTGGCCAACACTCAGCTGACAGAAGCTGGACACACTCAGCTGACGAAGTGGCTCACACTCAGCTGACAGAAGTGGCACCCCACATCAGCTGACAGAATCTGGCACACTCTCAGCTGACAGAAGCTGGCACAACACTCAGCTGACTGAAGCTGGCACACACTCAGCTGACAGGAGCTGGCACACACTCAGCTGACAGAAGCTGGCACACACTCGGGCTGGTCAGAAGCTGGCCACCACTCAGTGACAGAAGCTGGCCAACACACTCAGCTGACAGAAGCTGGCACACACTCAGCTGACAGAAAGCTGGCACACACTAGCTGAAGAAGCTGGCACACACTCAGCTGACAGAAGCTGGCACACACTCAGCTGACAGAAGCTGGCACACACTCAGCTGACAGAAGCTGGCACACACTCAGCTGACAGAAGCGGCACACACTCACTGACAGAAGCTGGCACACACTTCAGATGACAGAAGCTGGCACCCACTCAGCTGACAGAAGCTGGCACCACTCAGCTGACAGGAAGCTGGCTCACCTCAGTGACAGAAGGCGTCACCACTCAGCTGACAGAAGAGGGGCACCACTCAGCTGACAGAAGCTGGCACACACTCAGCTGAAGAAGCTGGCACACACTCAGTGGACAGAAGCTGGCACACACTCAGCTGACAGAAGCTGGCACACACTCAGCTGACAGAAGCTGGCACACACTCAGCTGACAGAAGCTGGCACACACTCAGCTGACAGAAGCTGGCACACACTCAGTGCACGAGCGGGCACACACTCAGCTGACAGAGATGGGGAGAGAGAAATATCGAAATATCTTCCAAAAATTAAAAAAATGACATTCGTCACAGAGATACCAGACTGATTTTACAAAAATTTAATCAACAAAAAAATGCTATTCGATGTTTATTGACCGTCTCATGTCATAAAATATTCTCTCCTTGGTACTGTGCAAAGTATTTAGGTCCTGATAATGGATCACTCTTTTCATCCGGCGCCTGATCAACCAGACTATGATAGGTCTGCAGGCCGACGGCACCAACAGCCTGATTAACCAGGCAACACAAAAATGAAAATCCATCTTGAGGTCATGCTTTGAAGTTTAAAACTTGCTTGGAAGTTTTTCTTGCAGTCTTTATGCATGTAAATTTAAATCACTGGGTTTAATGAGGTTTAATGACCAGGTTGAACGACCCAAGTTGAACAACCCAAGTTGAACGAAACAGGTTGGTGCTCTTTCAGGTCCACCCTCTCAGTAGATTGGTCCATCCGAGGTGCCTCTTCCTGGTCCACCACCCCTTTCCTCCTGGTCCACCACCTTCCTCCCTGGTCCCCCACCTTCTCTCTTGGTCCACACCCTTCCTCTTGGTCACCACCCTTCCCTCCTGGTCCACCACCCCTTCCCTCCCTGGTCCACCACCCCTTCTCTCCTTGGTCCACCACCCCTTCCCTCCCTGGTCCACCACCCCTTCCCTCCCTGGTCCACCACCCCTTCCCTCTCTAGTCCACCACTCCTCTCCTCTGGTCCACCTATCCTCCTCCTAGTCCACCGCCCCCTCCCCATGGTCCACCGCCCCCTCCCAGGTCCACCGCCCCCTCCCCCCTTACCAACATTCCCTTCACCAGTAGTTAAAGACTCTCCCCTCGCCACCCCTTCACCAGGATCATTAAGGACTGCTGCCTCGGAGGAAATCAACACAACTTGGTGGGGGAGGGGTGAGGGAAGGGGGTAGTGAGGGGGAAGATGGGTGGAGGGAAGGGGAATGTGGGAAGATCGGTGAGGGAGGTTGGGGAGTGAGGAGAAGGTGGGTGAGAGAGGTGGGGAGTGGAAAGGGAGAATGAGGGGAGAGAGAGAGAGAGAGAGAAGAAAGCAAGGAAGAAATACAATATCCTTTTTGTCTATGGTTGATTATAAGAATGAGAGAGAAGGTGAGAGAAGAGTGAAGAGGAAATGCAGGGAGAAGAAATAAGAGGTGAAGGGAGAGAAACAAGAAGAATGTGAGAAGTTGATCAACTTTGCACCTAAATTAAAATTAAAAAAAGAATATTTGGGAATGTTCTCTCTATTCTTTTTAATCTCGTCTTCTTATGATTCATTCTCTCTTTTTCTTTTCTTCTCACCATCTTTATCTCTCCGTAAGTTTCCCTTGATAATATTCTCCAGACAGCTCAACAGTGTAAGTGGAACCTTGTGGGTGAAGATTTGCTGGAAGCAGATTTAATACAAAGCTTCACGAGAGGGAACGTTACAGCCAGTGAGGCCAGGAACTGTGTGGTAGTGAGTGGAACTACCACAGACACACACATGCTAAAGCTCTTGGAGCAGGAAGAGAGTGGACCTAGGAGAGACCAGCGAACAGGTGGGACAAGGAGCTATGACTCGACCCTTACAACAACAAACAGGCGAGTACACACACACACACACACACACGTACACAC